CAACCTGGGAAAGAAGGAAGGCAGGTAAGTACTTGCAGTTTAAAGCAGGACCCATTGATGGAATATTGAGCCACTGAGGCAAAATAGCTCACCTTCTCTTGCCTTGGGGGACACATGGTTTTTAACCATTCTACTGTTTTATTAGCATCTGCGAGTATCTGATAGAAATACTATTCTGCTGTTGATGGAAATCCTTATTATAATTGATATGGAAGTGAGTTTGAAATTCTAACAGCTAACATTTCATGTTTGTATCACACACTGTTCTTAACACTTTATGTGACTTCACTCAATTCTTTGAATCCTCTGCATCTAGCCGTGTATTCTGCAAATATTAAGTGCTCAATGGTTTTTTTTGTTGAATTACTGAATAAATGAATTTGTGGTGTTTGGTTTGTTTTTTTTCTAGAGCTAGTGATAAAGGAGGATCAGCAGGCCTAGGAGGTCAATGTGGTGACAGCAACAGCAATCAAATTAAGAGATCCAAGGAGAGTGTCAAGAGTCCACATGTTAAGTGTTCTTATCTCAGAAACAAACCACAAAGGGACACAAAGAAACTTTTGGAGGTGATGGCTATGTCTATTACCTTGATTATGGTGATGGTTTCCCAGGTATATGTATGTCCAAACTCATCCAATTGTATATATTAAATAGGTACAGATTATTGTATATCAATTATACCTCAATAAAACTTTAAAACAAACACATACAGATATAAATCTTGCATGCACAGATGGAAGAAATAGAGTCCACAGTGATAATCACTCCTTCCATTCACATCTCTCCCTCAGAACCTCTGTGAGTCCCATGCAATGGAAGGTTGGGTGTTTCACTTGCTCAAAGATCTGTTTTCTTTACAGGACCTGTGAGTCTGGCTCCACCCTTCAAGAATAGCATTTTTGGGAAATCTGACTATGTGGTGCTGAAAGTCTGTGCTCACAGGGTTGGATTGATTTGAAGTCCATGGAAACAGCTGTCAACACTCTAGAGGCACTAGAAAGAGAAATTAAGAAGTTCTCCATCCTGGCCGGGCGCGGTGGCTCAAGCCTGTAATCCCAGCACTTTGGGAGGCCGAGACGGGCGGATCACGAGGTCAGGAGATCGAGACCATCCTGGTTAACATAGGTGAAACCCCGTCTCTACTAAAAATACAAAAAACTAGCCGGGCGAAGTGGCGGGTGCCTGTAGTCCCAGCTACTCGGGAGGCTGAGGCAGGAGAATGGCGTGAACCCGAGAGGAGGAGCTTGCAGTGAGCTGAGATCCGGCCACTGCACTCCAGCCTGGGTGACAGAGCAAGACTCTGTCTCAAAAAAAAAAAAAAAAAAAAAAAAGAAGTTCTCCATCCTTTGGGAGGCCGAGACGGGTGGATCACGAGGTCAGGAGATCGAGACCAACCTGGCTAACACGGTGAAACCCCGTCTCTACTAAAAAAATACAAAAAACTAGCCAGGCGAGGTGGCAGGCACCTGTAGTCCCAGCTACTCGGGAGGCTGAGGCAGGAGAATGGTGTAAACCTGGGAGGCGGAGCTTGCAGTGAGCTGAGATCCGGCCACTGCACTCCAGCCTGGGCAACAGAGCAAGACTCCATCTCAAAAAAAAAAAAAAAAGAAAAAAAAAAAGAGGTTCTCCATCAATTACAAAGGCAAATACTGACCTGAGATAATCACAAGAGGGAACTCACACAGTCCACTCACTTCCCTTTGAAGGTGAGAGCCAAGGGCATGTCCAGCAGCTCCTGTCCACACCCCTTTGGGCTGTATTTCAATGACTCACCACTTCATCTCTTAGGCGCCACATTTAGCTCTGCCCTACCTCAGCATTTCCCAAATTTATTGAATTATGAAAGCCTCCTGAGAAGTTGATTAATTCTGATTTGGCAGATGTACAGTAGGGTCAGGTAATCTGGACGGTATTTTTAATAAGCGCTTCAGGTGATATGGTCTGACCAGTTTTAACAAATGTTATTTCTTTGCTGCTCAAAATACAGTCCAGTGACCAACAGAACTAGCATCACCTGGACTTTGAGGATTCCTGTATATAGAACATAAAGATACCCTTCCCAGATGTTGCCATCATCTAATCATGTGGTTGATCTTTCCGGTGACCAGTCCCCATTCTGAAGCTATCTAGGAGCCTACAGAGATTCACCTCATTAGCATAAAAGATATACTCTTGTCACTCAGGTAATTCCAAGGGCTTTTGAAGCTCTGTGCCAGGAGCCAGGTACAAAGACCAGAAAGACCACATATATTCTCCATTATACTACACAATAATACTTGCTTTTATATTTGCCCATGTAGTTACCTTTACTGTAGATCTTTATTTCTTCATACAGCTGCAAGTTACCATTTAGTGTCCTTTCATTTCAACTTGAGGACACCTTGTAGCATTTCTTTCAGGGCAGGTCTACTTGCAGTGAACTCCCCCAGCTTTTGTTTGTTTGGGAATATCTTAATTTCTCCCTCACTTTTGAAAGACAATTTTGCCAGATATAGAATTCTTGGTTGATAGAATTTTTCTTTCAGCAATTTAAATATGTCCACTGTTTTCTGGCTTCCATAGTTCCTGATAAATAGCCAACTGTTCATCTTACTAAGATTCCCTTGTACATGATAGTTGCTACTTTCTTGTTGCTTTCAAGATTGTCTGTCTTTGACATTCAACAGTTTGATTACAATGTGTCTTGATGTGGACCTCACTGAATTTATTCTACCTAGAGTTCATTGTGCCTGTTGGAAATATAGAAATAAATTTCACAATTTTTCAGGGAGATTGGTTAGGACATCATCGCAATAATCCAAACAAAAAGAAATAATGATAGTTTAGACTAAGGGTAGAGTAAAAATGGTTATATTTTAAATATGTTTTGAGGGTCCAACCAACAGATTTTGTGGGTAGATTGGATGTCTGTGAGAGAAAGAGAAGAAATAAGGATAATAAAGTAGTCTGAGAGCCCAAATAACTGGGAGAATTAAGTTAAACTACTAAGACCAAGAACACTAGAAAGAGCAGAATTTGCGTGGGTATAATTTCAGGAGCTAATTTCTGGACATAATACCTTCGAGATGCCTATTAAACATTCAAGTGAAAAGAGGGAGGAGTACTGGAAATACAGGCTTGAAATTCAGGAGGAAAGTCTGAACTGGTGCTAAAAATCTTGACATCATCACTACGGAGATAATAAAAGAGACTGAAACGGAATGGTCAGAAATGTAGGAATAAAATCAGGAGCTGTGGTGGTGATCAACTGTGTTGATGCAGCGGATAAGTCAAGTAAGATAAGAACAGGGAATTAACCTGTCACATGAGTATTGACTTGAATTGATTTAATCATGTTCAAAGAATCTCTTTGCTATTTTAAAGCTTGAAGAACTCCTATGTTCTTAATGAAATCTTCAGGAACACTGAGTGAAAAGTCATGTTTGCTTTTCCTCTAAAAGCCTCAAGGGAGTTGAGTACTATAATAAATCCACAGAGTTGATTCTGATTTCCATCTCCACACACCCTCGCAAGCCTGCTCCTTTTCCTAGTTTCCATTTGGTGAGATCAATCCACAAAGATAGTGCTGACAATCTACATATTGTTGATAGGCTTCTAACAACCAAGTTGATATAGAAAATATTTCCCTATTGACTCTCTAAATAGCTTTTTAGTGAAAAGGATATATGTAATCATTATTTTTGGAAGAGGAGCCTTTCTTTTATGACTTCCGCAATTTCATCTGCCTCCATTATTTTCAGAGGAAGAAAGGCTAAGTTATAAAACCCTCCCCTCCTCTTTGATGTGTAAAAATAAACTTTAAAAAATGACTGTGCCACTTTATGGCAATATGTGTTTGTTTAATCTTACCTATTGGTTACTTTCAGAGATAAATTAAGTGAAAAGGTACATACAAAGCACCTAGCAAGGTTCCAGAACATGATGGAAGATCAACAACTTCATTTCCTTTCCCTTTTTCCCTTCTGAAGCTTGTGACCCTTATTTATAAAATGAAGGTGATAGTTTTTTGTTTTCAGAAAATTCACACAAAAGTAAATTACCTCAAAGATGAATATGAAAAAATATATTCAGCCTATTTAGGAATAAAATGACTGGAATTTAAAACTGTGTTATACCTGTTTAAAAACCTATTAAATGAGCAAAGTCAGTCAATGCTAGGGAAAGTGGAATATCTGCTACTAAAAATATGCACCTGTGAAAGATTGTGTATGATGGGGTAGTCAGGCAGAGGGGTTGGGCAATGAAGGAGGTAGAAGAGAGATTCAAAAACGTTCATGCTTTACAACTCAATAGCACCACATCATGGACTTTCAAAGACATTAAACTTGTTAGACACAAACATAAATACTTAAAAATCTGACAACAGAAAATAGTTAACTGAATCATGGTATATCTAAACAATGCAATATTTTGCAGCATATAAATATGTATGCATAGACATTAAAATGGTTATGAACTGGTGAGAATGTATAATGATGGAACCACTTTGGAAAATAGTCTGACAATTCCGAAAAATGTTAAGCATAGAGTTACCATATGACCCAACAATTCTACTCCTATGAAAATGAAAACATGTATACACAGAAATATGTACATAAATATTTATACCAGCATTTATTCATAATAGCAAAAAGAGTGAAAACAATTCAAATGTCCATCAACTGATGAACGGATAAACAGAATTTGGTATAAACATGCAATGAAATAATTATTTGATGATAAAAAGGAATGAAATGGGCAGGGTGCAGTAGCTCATACCTGTAATCCCAGCACTTTGAGAGGCAAAGGCAGGCAGATCACTTGAGGTCAGGAGTTTGAGACCAGCCTGGCCAACATGGCAAAACCCCATCTCTACAAAAATACAAAAAATTAGCCGGGTGTGGTGGCACACATCTGTAATCCCAGCTACTTAAGAAGATGAAACAGGAGAATCATTTAAACCCAGGAGGCGGAAATTGCAGTAAGCCGAGATCACACCACTGCACTCCAGCCTGGGTGACAGAGTGAGACTCCATATTAAAAAAAAAAAAAGGAATGACATGCTGATACATGAAACAACACGGATAAGCCTTTAAAAGACTATGCTAGGTAAAATAAATCAGTCAAAACAGACCACATATTGTATCATTCCATTTACATGAAGTGTCCAGAACATGCATATTCATATCCACAGAGGCAAGTAGATTAGTGTCTGCTTAGTGTTGTGGAGAAAGGAAGAATGACTGCTGGTGAATATGGGGTTTCTTTCTGGGGGAGGATGAAAATATTTTTAAATTGATTATGTTAATGGTTGCACAACTGTGAATATGCTACAAAAAATCACTAATTTGTACACTTTAAATAGATGAATTGTATGATGTGTGAACTGAATCTTGATAAAGCTGCTCTATAAATGACTGAAGAACTTAATAACAGGATCAAACACTTGTGTCTGCTATGAACAATCATTAAAGTGGGATTTTAAAAAATTATATGAAACATTCAACTATGTAGAAATATGCACAGAAAAAAGAGTAGGAGCTTCTGGATAATATATTTAAAAGGCACACATTTGGAGAAAATGGAAGAGGAAATAACATTTTGGAAACTGGAAAGCAAATGAGCTCATGGTCACTAACCTAGCAAATCAGAGCAGGCCGACTCCTGTGCTGAGAACCAACCAGAATCCTCAAGTCTCAGGAATTGGCACCAGGTACCTCTGAAAATGGGACACACAACAGAGTTTGTTGAAAGCTCCTGAGGAAACAAATCCTAGATCCTCTTCTCTTCTTCACCCCACTGGGTGACTGTCCTTCTCCCACTCAAGTGAAAACAGGAGGTTCATACTACAGAGAGGGCAAGATAGAGGGGTCTGGTCTACTCTAGAGGATACCAGGCCTAACTGAAGGATGAGTATCGTACAAACACATGGGAATTTTGTAATCCTATACATTGTAAATTCTGAGACCCTCCAGCCACCTTTCTCAACACACAGAACGCTGGCAGTCAGGCCTTTACCTTCAGATCAGAGATGAAAGAGCCTTCTTTGGGGCATCTGACCAATCCAAAAGAAAAGCCCTAGACATACTGACATGGGCCCAAGCAAAGCACCCCAAAGCAAAGCTCGTGTTCAATCAGCTCCACTCATATGCTAAGACTACAAATCAGCTACTTAGACCCCCACTCTTAAACAGGAGCAGACAATCAAGTATAACCAGATATTTGAGTAGATCCTTTCACATCAATGTTAGAGACCAAGACAAAGAGACAAAAAAAAAAAAAAAAAAAGAAAAAACCCTAGAAGAAAAGTGGTCTATGGTGCAGAAATTAAATAAGATAATCTCAGCTGTTACAAAATCAAACCCGCATAGAACAATGGCTTAAACCCCAAAATGGGAGTTCCTGATTAGTAGGCAGCTCTCCTCCAAGTATTGATTTACGGATCCAAGTTCCTTTCACTTTTTGAAAATTTGCAATTGCATTTCTTAGCAGATTCCCAAAATTGTATGATGGTCATGCTGAGAAAAACCTGCCTTAACCCTTATTTACATTTAGAAAATAACTAAAAAAGAAAAACTAGGTAATTATTCATCCCCAAATTGTTCAAGAAAACTAATAAGGCCCAGTGCAGTGGCTCACGTCTGTAATCTCAACACTTTGGGAGGCCAAGGTGGGCAGATCACCTGAGGCCAGGAATTCCAGACTAGCCTGGGCAACATGGCGAAACCCTGTCTCTACTAAAAATACAAAAAATTAGCCTGGCATGGTGGCAGGCACCTGTAATCCCAGCTACTTGGGAGGCTGAGGCAGGAGAATCGCTTGAACCTGGGAGGCGGAGGTTAAAGTGAGCCAAGATCACCATTGCAATCCAGCCTGGGCAACAAGAGTGAAACTACATCTCAAAAAAAAAAAAAAGAGAAAGATAGAAAAAAGACTAATCATAGTAAGCCATATAGCTCAGCTTTGAATCTCATCTCCAAATAGCATATGAAATATAATAATGTAAGCATGGCATGTTAATCAACCAAAATCTCTATGGAGAAGATGGGAGATGATACACATACATGGTAGAGGGGCAAAGCTAACTTCTCTGCCATTTTCCATAATGGGAAGTCCATAGACAATGCCTAAAACTTATAAAACAAGAAGAAACATAAATATGTTATTTAGAGATGAGGTAAATACAAAAAGAAAAAGCTTTAAAAAGAAGTGGAATTAGTTGTTTCTGAGAAAGGAAATTTGGGGAGAATGAAAACATTTTATGCCATGTGAATACAATTTTGATTTATAAATAGAAAAAAATGGTGGAAAATATTTTAAGGTATTAACAGTGATTGTCCTTGGGTAAAGGACTTTGGATAAATTTTTAAAACATTCTTTCTTCATCTATATTTTCTGCATATTCTAAAGTAAACATGAACTATTTTTACAACTGAAGTATTAAAGTGTAAAAGTAACATGTTTGTCTCAAAAATTGTAAGAGTTAAATGTGCAATGTTTTTAAACAAACTGGTATTTTTAAATTTTAGCTATTTGAATTAAATAAAAAGGAGATGAGTTTTTTTGAGGTGAAATTGCTATTCCATATGATAGAAAATTTGGGTGTATTAGATCCTTTTGTAAAACATACCAGATTGCCACTCTTATTTTCTGAACTATCTTGCCTCTTTTTTTTCTTCATAACAAAATAAATGTCCTTCCAGCGAGTACCATAATGTTTAGGGTTATTTTGAGGCAAACACTTAACTGGTATATTAGTCTATTCTCATGCAGCTAACAAAGACATATCTGAAAACTGGGTAATTTACAAAGGAAAGAGGTTTAATTGACTCACAGCTCAGTATGACTGGAGAGGCCTCAGGAAACTTCCAACCATGATGGAACGGGAAGCAAACACTTCTTTCTTCACATGGCAGCAAGCAACAGAAGAATGAAAACAAAGTGTTGGGGAAGCCCCTTATAAAACCATCAGATCTCCTGAGAACTCACTCACTATCACAAGAAAAGTGTGGGGGAAATCACCCCCATGATTCAATTACCTCCTACCAGATCCCTCCCATGACATGTGGGGATTATGGGAACTATAATTCAAGATGAGATTTGGGTGGGGACACAGCCAAATCATATCACTCTGCCCCTGGCCCCTCCCAAATCTCATGTCCTCACAATTCAGAACATAATCATGTCCTTCCAATAGTCCCCCAAATTCTTAACTCATTCCAGTATGGTCTCAAAAGTCCAAGTCCAAAGTCTCATCTGAGATAAAGCAAGTCCTTTCTGCCTATGAGTCTGTAAAATCAAAAGCAAGTTAGTTACTTCCTAGATACAATGGGGGTACAGGCATTAGGTAAATATGCCCATTCCAAAGGGGAGAAATTGGACAAAACAAAGGGGCTACAGGCCCCATGCAAGTCCAAAATCGAATAGGGCAGTCATTAAAACTTAAAATTCCAATATGATCTCCTATGACTCCATATCTCACATACAGGTCACAGTGATACAAGAGGTGGGCTCCCACAGCCCCGGGCAGCTCCACCACTGTGGCTCTGCAGGGTATAGTCCCATCCCAGCTAGCATAGAGTGTCTGAAGCTTTTCCAGGTGCACAGTGCAAGCTGTCAGTGGATCTACCATTCTGGGGTCTGGAGGACTGTGGCCCTCTTCTCACAGCTCCACTAGACAGTGCTCCAGTAGAGACTCTGTGTAGGGCTCCAACCCTGCATTTCCCTTCAACACTGCCCTAGCAGAGGGTCTCCATAAAGGCTCCACCCCTGCAACAAACTTCTGCCTAGATATCCAGGTGTTTCCATACATCCTCTGAAATCTAGGCAGAGGTTCCCAAACCTCAATTCTCAACTTATGTGTGCCCACAGGCTCAACACCACATGGAAACTGCAAAGGCCTGGGGCTTGTACCCTATGAAGCAATGGCCTGAGATGTACATTGGCCCCATTAGCCATAGCTACAGTAGCTGAGATGCAAGACACCAAGTCCCAAAGCTGCACACAGCAGGAAGGCCCTAGACCTGGCCTAGGAAACCACTTTTCCTTCCTAGGCCTCCAGGCCTATGATGGGAGAGGCTGCTGTGAAGGTGTCTGACATGCCTTGGAGACATTTTCCCTATTGTCTTGGTGATTAACATTAGGCTCCTTGTTATCTTTGCAAATATCTGCATCCTGCTTGAATTTCTCCGCAGAAAATGGGCTTTTCTTTTCTATCACAATAGTCAGGCTGCAAATTTTCAAACCTTTATGCTCTTCTTCCTCTTGAATGCTTTGCCACTTACAAATGTTTTTTGCCAGATACCCTAAATCACCTCTCTCACGTTCAGAGTGCCACAGATTTCTGAGGCAGGGGCAAAATGCACCAGTCTCTTTGCACGGCAAGAGTGACCTTTATTCCAGTTCCCAACAAGTTTCCCATCTCCAATCGAGACCACCTCAGTCGACTTCATTTTCCATATCACTATAAGCATTTTGGTCAAAGCCATTCAACAAGTCTCTAGGAAGTTCCAAACTTCCCCACCATCTTCCTGTCTTCTGAGCCCTTCAGTCTCTACGAATTCCAAATTTTCCCACCTACTTCTGAGCCCTCCAAACTGTTCCGACCTCTGCCTGTTACCAAGTTCCAAAGTTGTGTTCCACATTCAGGTATCCTTATAGCAGCACTCTACTCTCAGTACCAATTAACTGTATTACTTCATTCTCACACTGCTAATAAAGACATATCCAAGACTAGGTAATTTATAAAGGAAAGAAGTTTAATTGACTCACAGATCAGGATGGCTGGGGAGGCCTCAGGAAACTTCCAGCCATGGCAGAAGGAAAAGCAAACATGTCCTTCTTCACATAGCAAAAGGAGAGAAAAGAATGAGAAATGAGCGAAGTGGGAAGCCCCTTATAAAACCACCAGATATTGTGAGAACTTTCTCATTATCACGAGAATAGCATCAGGGAAACCAATTCCATGATTAAATTACCTCCTACTGGATCCCTCCCATGACACGTGGGGATTATGGGAACTACAATTCAGGATGAGATTTGGGTGGGCATGCAGCGAAACCATATGAACTGGTAATTAGAACAATCAGCAGAGCCAACTAAATGTATAAAATTTCCCAACTCACAGCATCATTTCATGTCATTTGTTTTTGTTTCTCTGCCATGCATGTATAAGCATCTCAAGGTAAAAAATCCACACACCCTCTCTTCTTCCTTCTCTTCCTCTTGTTCTCCATTTCTCTCTTTTATTCTTTCCTCTCAAATTTCAGATACTGAGAAAAAATAACTAACATTGGTGTAGTGTTAAGGTAACATTTACAATTTCCACAAAACCTATTTTCTTTCCATTTAATCCTCACAATACCCATTTTAGGAAGTTGGTAATATTCTCTTCTTTTAATGATACAGAAAACAGAATCACAGAGTGATTTGCCCGGAACACTCCATGGGGAAACCACAACTGGAACCTACATGGCTTCATCTTCATGATGGTTATTTACAACAGGTGTTCAATAAATGTAGCTCAGCCAACCATAAACTGAGAAGAACCTGGGATACTCAACCTCTAGTTAGTCCAGATTATGCTTCCTTTTGTTCACTAGGCAGAAGAGTGGATAATTATCTGTGAACTCTCTTTGTGGTAGAAAAATCTGCAGACAAGGTAAAAATAGGAAAGAAGACCAGGCATGCCATCAAACAAGAAACAGAAGGCAAAACGCAAGACATTTCCCACTTATGAAAAGATGGTATGCTTCTGGAAGGAGTTTCAAAAGCAGGTTTCTCTCTCTATGCACAGGGAAGTAGACTTCAGCTCGCCCCCACCAGATATGGCATCAGCCAAGATTAAGATTTGCCCAAGGAACTGTGCTCAGTTTCTTGGCTTCGGTTTAATTCCTGCTGCTGTCTTCTGGTCGCCCTAGCAACACGTATTAAATATGAAAATTTTTGTTTTAAACACTATTTGTGCTAGTAAAAGAGAACTGGAAGACTAGGGAAAGGTGAAGAGATATTTTCAGTACCAAATGTTTTTCTAAGACATCAGACTCTGCAGCAATGCTGTGATGTACACTAAGAACCACAGAGTCTCAAAACCTTCCCCTAAGATTTCATTGGCAAAAGTCAGGAGTAAGAGGGCGGTCCTGGTTGTAGAACACTAGAGAAGCTTAGGGCAAGAACTTTTTCTGATTCATAGTCAATTTCAGAACAATGGTCCTCTGAAAACCAAAATACTTTATAGTCTTTTTTAAAATTTTTTTATTTTATTTTATTTTATTTGAGACAGGTTCTCACTCTGTCACCTAGGCTGGAGTGCAGTGGTGCAATCATAGCTCATTGCAGCTTCTATCTTCTGGGCTCAAGCAATCCTCCCACCTCAGCTTCCCAAGGAGGTGGGACTACAGGCATGTGCCACCATGCCCAGCTAGTATTTATTTATTTATTTATTTACTGAGAGAGGGTCTCATTCTGTCACACAGTGGAGTACAGTGGCACAATCTCAGCTCACTGCAGCTTGACCTCCAAGTCTCAGGTGATCCTCCTGCCTCAGCCTCCCAAGTAGCTAGGACCACAAGTGTGAGCCACCATACCTGGCTAATTTTTGTATTTTTTGTAGAGATAGGGTTTCACCATGTTGCCCAGGCTGGTCTCAAACTCCAGGGCTCAAGCAATCCACCCACATTGGCCTCCCAAAGTGCTGGGATTACAGGTGTTAGCTACCATGCTTGACCCCTTTATAGCCTTAAATAGAAAAAGAATGCTGTCTTTGAAGGGGTTAGTATATGGAAGAAAAGAAATATTCTCCCTCTGTTGCAAAGAGAGCCCTTGATGGAGAGAGATTAAAATATTTTAACACTATAAAAATGAGAATATCATTTTACCGGAAAACTAAATCAAGGCTAAGAAAAGATACTGAAAACTGCGTGTCAAACTTATCTTCATTTCCTGGCTCTCACTGTCCACCACAAGGAAGCATATTTGTTCAACTGCAGATGATTTTCCAGCCATGAACTCTCTGAATTGTCCCTCAGTATCCACCAAGGATAGGTTGCAGGAACCAACCCACCAACTGATACCAAAATCCCTGGGTGCTCAAGTCTCTGATGTAAAATAATGTAGTATTTGCATAGAACTTATGCACATCCTCCTATACAGTTTAAATCATCTCTAGATTACTTGTAACACTCATACAATGTAAATGCTATACAAATAGTTGTTTTACCATATTTCTTAAAATTTGTATTTTTTTATGGTTTTTTTTTTTTCCTGAATATTTGTTATCTATGGCTGGTTGAATCTGTGGATGTAGAACCCACAGATACGAAGAGCTGACTGTGTTATACAGATCTCTGTTTAATGAATATTGAACTGTGTAAGGGATAGTTCTCAATTTTTTTTCTGAAAAAGCATAAAGTCGTTCTTCTTCATACGACCACTTAGCAGAAGGCTAAATTGCAAATCTGTGAAGGTGAGTTGTACAAAGCTGACAGAATTTATCCTAGGACCATAGCTTTGGCCTGATTTGACCAGGCCTGATGAAGGGACAAAGCTTTGTTAATAGTGCTTGTTCACTCATTTGCCTTATCAGATTCTAACCCTGTGGTAGGCAGTATCTGCCCTCATTGGAAACATCACATAACCCAATGCCTGATGCAAAGTGATTGAGCAAAAATTATAGAAGAAATGAAGAAAATAAGGAGGACAAAGTATTCCCCGGGCTACAGTCAGGATCTTTCATGAAAGCTTTGGAATAGAGGAAAGTCTATTTGGATCAGACCCTGATAAGCACTAGAAGCAGGAGGTTGATGCGGCAACCCATGTGCTCTAAAATTAGGTGGAAGTGATGCTTGTTTTAAGAAGTAGAGACGCTGATTTGTATTCTGACCCCTGAGCTACAAAAATATCTGACAACAGAGCCAGAACTTTCTCAGAAAGTGACTCAGCAGCTTGCCTCACATTGATCCAGTTTAGCACTGAAAGCCCCAAGTCCTGAGAAATCCTCAGTTCCCGTCAGATCAAAACATTGGTCACCCTAGAAAACAGAGATGTTCGAGCACTCCAGCAGGTAACAATTCTCAGCTGAATTCTGCATCATACAGCATGTAAGTTGTTAATCTAGAGTGGGACATTTTGAGGACAAAATAAAAATTTTTTTTTATTCTACCACGAACATATCTTTTTTATCAAAAGCTTAATTTTTAGAAAGATTTCATTCTGATGTCTTGCTGGAATGCATTAGTTGCAGAATTCACTTGAAGGTATCTAAAATGAGAACACCTGTGGATTTACTTTGGTGTTTCTAAAATGAGATAACCTAAGGATTCGAGTTTTTTACACATCTAGATAGTAAAGTCCATTAAAATGAAGTTGAATCTCAATAACTGATATTGAGATTTTTTTAAAGACAGTGATTGGCTATGAGAATCAATTTACTCTTGAGACCACCTCCAAAATTTTGACTAGATCATTAACTTGCCCTCCCATTCTCTTGAAGGAAAGACATCATTTAGTTCACATAAGAACAGAATCAAATTATTCAGACATGAGTTTAGACAGAAGGGCTGAGATGCAGCCCTGTTTTCACCACTGCGTTGTTCCCATCCCACCCCCTGGAAACTCAGTGGGGCATTGAAACTGACTCAGGAAAGATACATGTGAGCTTGGACTCTGCAGAGGGAATATACAGTCTGGCCCTTAGAGATTTTTCCATATTGAATCAAAGACTAATAAATGCTGTAAAGACTTCTGTTCACAATAAGAGTAACACCCTGACATTTCTGGAAAAAGTTACTAACATACAGTCGGATTCATATATTACATTATTGAATGCCTCTATCCTGCAATTTCTGGAGGAAACTTGTCCTAACATAATTTATTTTTAGTTTTTTAATAATTCAGGGTTTGAAATACATAATAAGCAAATTCTGATGATCCAGAAACTACAGAACAAATAAATTACATAAAAGTTCTCCAAGACTTCCTGGTAAGATGCTTCAGCAGTTACTAAAGAGTTCACCTCTGAATGAATTTCCATCCTTACCAGTAGCTGATTCTTCATTCAGATGAAAATTCAACTGAAAATACTTTCAGTTCAATGGTAACTACCAATAAAGAAAGAATTTTTGCATAGAGATTGAGGCAAGCACAAATCAGTCTTACATCAGTTTCACTCAGCTTTATGTTCTATACAGCATGTATTCCTTGAATACAAAAATAAAAAAACTAAATCCTTGATATTTTTATATCAGAGGGAGTATTTTTCTGATACATATATCAATATACATCCATTCATTATAGTGGCCCAAGGACCTTGTGGTCACAGTAATGATATGAGACCCAGAGTTTTCCTTGTTTATAAGTCAGTCATCAAAAAAATGATCCTTTTTGGAGTTTCATATTATCATTCCACTTTTTTGGATGAAAGAGATAATCTACAAATCACAAGGAAGAGGGCTTAAAGTTTATATTGTATGCTAGGCTAGTGATATGTAAATTACTCACCTACGTTTGATACAGGAGCCACTTCAGGTGGAGCATGGGAAAGCATATGTGTGACTGTTCCTAACTGTAAGTAGATGGGAAAGCCTGAATTCAAGCATGAGAAATGCTGTGAAAGAAGAAAAAATGTTTTGGAATAATAATGGTTATTCTATCTGAAAAGGTATATCCTTAGTGAATTGTTCCTAACCATAACCTAAATCCTTGCATTTTCCACAAATTAGCATTTACTGAACAAATGTAAGAGGATAAATGATTACCATTCCCCCTCTAGGAACATCTGTTTCCAAAGGAATTTTGGCAGAGATTACAAGTGATGTCAGACTGCTAGGCACAAAGATTACAATCTGGCTAATTCTTGCCTTGGCATTCCTAGCTCCAGGGGAGCCTTCACTACAAAAAATGCAAGCCAGAGTTTGAAATGGGTTACTATACATTCTCACTGGAAAACAAACAAAAGGCTGGAGGCAGGAAGTGCTCATAGCTGGAGTTTTACTGAATGCCTCGAATGTTTACATTCAACATTCCTCAAAACATCTATTTGGGAAGATGAATAAAGAGAAACATTTCCCATTATGATGTTTAGCATCAACAAATATTTATTGAGATAACTCCTTTGAGATAGAAGGAGCCTTTAGGTTCTTTCTTTTTTTTTTTCTTCTTTTTCTTTTTCTTTTCTTTCTTTTTTTTTTTTTTTTTCTGAGACGGAATCTTGCTCTGTCACCCAGGCTGCAGTGCAGTGGCACAATCTCAGCTCGCTGCAACCTCTGCTGCCTGGGTTCAAGCAATTCTCCTGTCTCAGCCTCCTGAGTAGCTGGGATGACAGGTGCATGCCAACATTCCTGGTTAGTTTTTTGGTATTTTTTAGTAGAGATGGGGCTTCACCATGTTGGTCAGGCTGGTCTCCAACTCCTGACCTCAGGTGGTCCGCCTGCCTCCCAAAGTGCTGGGATTACAGGCATGAGCCACTCCAGGTTCTTTCTTTATGGACCAATGTGGTTCACAACACTCATAGAATAGTTACACTTCAGAGGGGTAGTTGGCTCACCGGAATTTCGTAGGATTCTATAATTACTTTTTGTTCATCAGCTTTCACTGGGTCTTTAGAAATGTGGTCAAGAAAGGATTTGGAGTGGATTACTTAGACCAGGGACTCCAGCAACCACTTTAGACTGGGAAGATTCATTATTGTGAGCATATATTGTGAGCGTTTTAAATATGGATGGAAAGAGGTGACATTTGGGTTTAGTCGTAACCTGCAAAATATTGGTCTAAAGAAATGCAACTCCTTCAAAGTTAAGGTTTGGTGGACAAAAGAGACTTTGCCCTAAGCTAATACAAAAGAGAATTAAAGAAAAGACCACTGAAATCAAGTAAAAAGTCTGTTTTGATACAGAAAAGAAAATGGAATAGAAAGGAATGTGCCATGTGCCATCACTTGGACCCACAGAAAGCAGCAATGATGTTTCCACGGCATTTTTTTTTTCCAGGTTAAAACTGGGTACATTAAAGAACAGGGAGTGCTATAGAGATTTTCACTGGATGACATATAGTCGTTTGATTGTATCACAACTGTCGAATCATTAAGTTTGGCTAGGTGACTAACATTCCATAAAGTTAAATGATACATTGAAAAATCAAGGGGCACCAAGCATCCAGTAGGAAACTGGCTTACTTGACCCAAGGCAAATCACGTACCTTCTTATTTTCAATAAACTTCTCATTGAGGGTATGGATGCTTGCTCTAAATTCTTTACAGATTTATGGTGATGACCAAAATATAAATATACAGTAATTTATGATCATATAAATGAAAAGCACTATGAAGAAATAAAATTCACCCTTCAAATATAATGCACTGTTATTACACACACATCAGTTCCAGCACTATAAACTTAGTTAATTTTTATGTTCAGAGAACTTACTGTGATCAATTCCCTTCACCTCTTTTAAGAAGTCAAGGGCATTCGTTCATTTAATGAATGACATTGTTTTTAAATTATTCACCATAGAAAAATGGGTCTGACCTACAGACACCAATTAACATTGTAGTGACCCTTGCCCCCTCCTAGGTTAACAGTCCCACTCCGTCACCTTCTCCTCCCCTTCAGCTGTCATTCTTCAGGCAGTTAGGGTAAAGGTTATGTAATTGCAGCAGTTCCTCCACCACTCACGATTAGAGGCCAATGTAACTGCCAGCCAAGAAGCTGAAATAAACTCCACAATGATTACACTCCACTGTTCCTGAGATTTAACAGAAATTGTCCAATTAGAACCAGAAAAACATATATATATCTATATATACATATGTAAGAAGACAAGAAAATCTGACCCAATGCCAAAGGAATGTTGTCCCCCTCCTCCAAGTAAACACAGATGTGTATCTGGTTATGAAAGAATTGTCCGGGAGAGTTCTCAGGCTCTGGTGTGAAGAATCCTGCTGATCTGTCACTCACCACCATCTCCCCAGCCCCAAAGGTTCAGACAGGAAGTCAAAGGACGCATGAGTAGAAACGATAGAGGGATTTTTTGTTTTTGTTTTTAGGAGTGAGATATTGAAAGCTGGCTCCCATTCCATGGCTGCAGGCCTCCTTTAAATATAAACAGCAGCAGGAGCGGAGAGTGGCTGCCATATTTCAATGCCAAAGAAACACAAAATGATGAGCGCAGATTTTTGGCTTTATATTAAAGCTTGGTTTTTTCAACAACCCCTTTTGTTGCCTCTAAAGACAATGGTCTCGGTGTTCCTGAGCCAGATTCCTGGGACTCAGAGCAGAGCCTCCCTTGCCGCACCCCAGTGGAGTTCACTCCACAAGCAGGGCTCGTGTCCCTTTTGGGTTGAAAGCAAGGCCCACTGCTGTAGAAGCATTTGTTTATTGAAGGTAAAGAGCAGTGGTATATGACACTCGGAATCTGCAGACCAAGCCCCAGGGTAGTTTGGTGAGGGATGTGTTCAGTGGTTTCTGCTTGGTTGGGAAACGGTAATTTCATCATGAGTTCTGCAATGGATTCATGTGGATGGAGTTGAGGATTTATCCACTTCATTAATTCATTGTAGGTTTAATTTTTTTAATGAATGTTTAGCATTTTAGGTTTATGTCACATAAGGTAGCAATAATCAACTTCACTAGATAGAACTACCAAGCTTTTTACTCTCCTTCCAGTCTAGCAGTTAAAACAAACCAAAAATTCTCCTAAATGCTTAAGTATCTCAGGCATTTTACATAGTTCACTGTCTCAGTGCACATATTTGAGCCACTCAAATACGAAGAGGTATGGTCATGCATATTCCCTTATCCCCAGGAACCGCCTTTTTTAAAAGCACTACATTAGGATTTCAAAGTTCTACTGCAAAAGCACTTAAATACTGTGTGAGGGTACTGGTTTCTTATACGTTCCTTGTAACTCACAAAGGGTTCCCCCCTGCTGATTTTTAACCTCACAGATGAGAATGGAATTCAAAATTGTATACTAATATTTTAATTATTATTACTTATATAACATAACCAATTAGCAATTAATATCTAATAATTATATATTAAATTTTTAATAATTATATATTTAATAATTCTTATTCTTTAATAATTACATATTTAATATATTATAATATATTTTATATTATATATAATATAAAAAATAATTATAGAGTGGTTATAATTATATATACTTATAAATTTAAGTATTTAAATAATTTAATTAATTATATAAATTAAAATAAATTTATTTAATAACATGTTTAATTATCAGATTATGTAATACATTTAATATGTTATTAAGGGAAATTATTTAAACATAAACACAGTTAACATTCATTTACCAGGTTTCTATTGTCTTCAAATTTGGAACAATAATAACCTAATGGGCTCAAGGCCCACCCAGTGGCACCTTCACATTTTGTCCGTGTGAAAAAAGTGATAGTTGTAATACCTGATAATTCTCACCATTTCTATAGCTCTTTCCAGTTTACAACACACCTTGATAACCATTATCAGGTTTGATCTTCAAAACCATCCTTGTGAGAGGATTATTATCATGTCCATTTTATACAAGAGAAGACTGAGTCTTAGAAAAATTAGGTGATTTACTGATAGTCATGCAAATAACATGGCAAACTAGAATTCAAATCCAGGTCTCTTTATTATGAATTTAGTTTTCATTTGGGTAGAGCATGCTACATGAATACCTGGAAATATAAATAATACAGAGTTTGTAAACCACCTGGTGGAGTTGGACATAGCATTGTTCTAATTGATGCTGTTAAAAAAATACAGAATACATTTATTTTTCTTCAAGTATAAACAGCCATTTTGTCAAAAAATAACAGATGCTGGCAAGGTTGTGGACAAACAGGAGCGCTTTCACACTGTATTTGGGAGTGTAAATTAGTTCAACCATTGTGGAAGACAGTGTGACAATTCCTCGAACACTTAAAGACAGAAATGTCATTCAACCCAGCAATCCCGTTACTGGGTATATACCCAAAAGAATATAAATCATTCTATTGTAAACACACATGCAGATGTATGTTCATTGCAGCACGATTTACAATAGCAAAGACATGGAATCAACCTAAATGCTCATCAATGATAGTCTGGATAAAGAAACTGTGTTATATATACACCATGGAATACTATGCAACCATATGAAAGAATAAGATCATGTCCTTTGCAGGGACACGGGTAGGGCTAGAGGCCATTATCCTCAGCAAACTAATGCAGGGACAGAAAACCAAATACTGCATGTTTTCAATTATACGTGAGAGCTAAATGATGAGAAGGCATAGACACATAGAGGGGAACAACAGACACTGGGGCCTACTGGAGGGCAGAGGGTGGGAGCAGGGAAAGGATCAGGAAGAATAACTAGTGAATACTAGGCTTTATACCTGAGTGATGACATAATCTGTACAACAAACCCCCATGACACACGTTTACCTATGTAACACACTGGCACATCTTGCACATGTCCCCCTGAAGTTAAAATAAAAGTTAAAAAAAAAATAACCATTTTGTACCAAATGATAGTTCCTCAGCCATTCACAGTATAATAGTTGGGTCACTATGAGAATTATCTGAAGAGGTCATTCCCAACAGACTTTCTATTTATTTATTTATTAATTCATTTATTCATTTACTCAACTTTTTTTTTTTTTTTTTTTTTTTTTTACTTATTTGCTTTTCTATTCATTTACTTATTTATATTAGGAATTTTTTTCTCTCTTACTTGTACTGTCAGCCCTGGTATCAGCCCTGATGAACTAGATTCTAACAATTAAAGCATAAAAAATAATAATGCAGCCCACTTGAGAAGTCTGTTGTGAAGAATAACTAACAAAAATTAATAAACACTTAGCAATCACCGGGTTCTAGGCAGTTTTACAAACACCCATAGTGGGTTTAATGGAACATTTGTCCTTCTCATATCAATCTATTTTCAACTCAAATTTCACTCTAAAGAACACATTATGATTCCATCATTTCTTTCAGCATTTGTAGTAGAACCATAACTCATCTCAACAATGCAAAGAATTCTTTGCAGCTAAATTACATTAAATTTCAAAACCAGCATTTGGCATGACAAAACTGAGTTCACTACATCCTCAAATGAAATATTTTGTTATGGAGATCATTTACTATCCAAAGTTTTTAATATCCATGCATGAAATTCATAAAGAGAAAGCAAGAAAACAGAAGGTGATGTTCCTAAAAGGCATACATTCTCTGCCTATGTGCTCTCTACTTGTGACACAAAAGCCCAAACTAAACTCTGGATCTGGTGGAATTAAAATGAAGCTGAATTTCTACATAAACTCAATGAACTGTGGACCAAAAGCTTCATCAACAGCCAAGTTCTTCTTCCGTGTATGCTTAAAAAGTACTCTATGTAATTTTGTACCCTAGACAATATTTTCTGAACAAAGAAAACAGCAACACTTAACCCACATCCAAGAGCTAAGATTCTTCAGATTCAGTTGTGTTCAAAGACCTGAGCAGGGGCAAGTGATCACGTGTAGATAAACTTCACATTGGATAAAACTTCAATTTTCAGAACAAACTATTAGGAGAGAATGATAGAAGAAGTCTGGATTTTTGCTAGACTTCTTATCATTGGTGATGTAGGCTTAATATATCTTTGGGCCTAGAAAACTTTAATAAGCCAATAAAATTCTCCTTAGGCATGGCCTATAATTAACAAACCAAGGTGACAACTCAGAATTCAAGAAATGACATCCATATTCTGAAGAAGGAAAGAACTGAGACCATCGTTTTTTTTCTAATAATAAAAATTTTTTATTAGAAAAAAATGATGGTGTTATTAGTGTTTCTTAAACACTTCCTTTCAGAATCAGCCTAATTTATGTTTGCTTCTGGGACTATGACCATTGTCCTTACCAAAGAAAATATGAAACTGTAAGGAAAGAGTAAAGGATAATTTTGAGAACAACATTCACTTAGGAGATGATAAAAAATATCACTTAAATATCATTTTGAGGTGAAAAACTGTCCTAGAAAGTTAATGTGTGTGTCTTCCAAAATTGTTCTTATAGACCAATGTATAAATCTAGGTTGTTGATATTGTTTGTATTAATGATGATGACTCAAAAATAAAATAAAATCAGAGCCCTATACAACCAACATGGTTTTTTTTTCACAATAACGTAAGTCCTAGTACAATTGAATTAAACTTGGCTATGAATAGTTTCAAAACCTAAGGGAGGGGAAAGTGGTCAGATAGGAATGCAAACTTCCCAATATTTCCTACTGGGCACTTGTATTTAATTCTTCTGCCTTCAGCAACTTTCTATTACCTCTCTCTCTCTCTCTTTTTTTTTTTTCCACCTCAGAAAATCTCTTCAGAAATCTCTGTATCACCCTCCCTCCCCAGCTGCCTTTTGGCCTTTCAGTCTAACCTGTCAGTACTACGGCCTTTGAAGTTGGCCCCTGCCTATCCTCTGAGCTGCTCTATCAAGTACTGTCAGTTAATGAACTTTTAAGGGAAAGGACTAGGAGAATCTGATAGCGGTCTTGTGGGTTTTTTTCTCTCTAGTTAAATAGAACTAAAGAAAACTTTCTCTTCCGGAAGCCACATAGGGACAGGAGAGTTAAATTGATTAAGACTATGATCTTTTAATTGCATTTTCTTCCCCAGATAACACCTCCAGCAAAGCAGAGGTGTTTGCTTTTTAATTCTGATTTCAAAATCTCTTGTGCGACCAGACCTAGTGCTCTGTAGTCTCTCTGTCAGGGAGGGCTTTCCCACCCCAGTTTCCTAGGGCTTCTTCAACACAGAAAGGATTCTTTTGATCAAAATTTGGCTTTCAGTTCATCTACCAGCTGAATCCACACTCCCAAATTCAGTGCTTGACTTTACAGCTACCCAAGCTGATACCACTGCCCAGAGAAGGAATGCAAAGATGTCAGAGAAAATCCTGGTCAAGTGTGCAGCAGAAAGAGTACTTTCTGGCATCTCACCCCAGAACTCTGAAAGTATTTCTCCATAGGGAAACATATCTACAAACACACACACACACACACACACACACACACACACACACACACAGTAAATGGACAAAGACCAGAAAGGTTTAAAGAGAATTAGGAACCCTAGGGAATTTTTTTTTTTGAGACAGAGTCTTGCTCTTGTCACCCAGGCTGGAGTGCCCTGGTGCAATCTCAGCTCACTGCAATCTCCACCTCTCGGGTTCAAGCGATTCTCCCGCCTCAGCTTCCGGAGTAGTTGGTATTACAGGCGCCTGCCACCAGGCCTGGCTAATTTTTGTATCTTTAGTGGAGATGCGGTTTCATCATGTTGGCCAGGCTGGTCTTGAACTCCTGACCTCAGGTGATCCACCTGTCTCGGCCTCCCAAAGTGTTGGGATTACAGGCGTGAACCACCGCAACTGGCCAGAGAATTTCTTTTCTTTTTTTCTATTATTATTATTATTATTATCATTATTATTATTATAATATCTGAGATGGAGTCTTACTCTGTCACCAGGCTGGAGTGCAGTGGTGTGATCTCGGCTCGCTGCAACCTCTGCCTCCCAAGTTCAAGCGATTCTCCTGCCTCAGCCTCCAGAGTAGCTGGGACTACAGGCACAAGCTTCCACGCCCAGCTAATTTTTGTATTTTTAGTAGAGACAAGGTTTCCCCACGTTGGCCAGGATGGTCTAGATCTCATGACCTCGTCATCCGCCCACCTCAGCCTCCCAAAGTGCTGGGATTACAGGCGTGAGCCACCATGCCCTGCTGGGAATTTCTTAAACAGTCCTTAAAGGAAATACCATTCCAAAAAAAAAGGGGCGGGAGAGGTTAAGTTAACTTTAGTCGTTAAGCAGGGACCAAAGACTCAATTAAGTCTTGATCCTACTCTGCTTATACTGGTATCTTCCTTCAGAGCACTTGACTTCACAGAGTTAACTTCAATTCCCAACTTTGATCTTTGCCTCATTCTGTCTTCCCAGGTTTTGAGCCCGAACTTTCCTGTA